GGTCCGGGCTGGGGATTCGAACCCGCCACCTTAGGTGTACGTGGCTGGCGCCTTACCCGGTTGAGCTATAGGCGCCGAGCCTAGTTATTGTATTAAGACATTTATATTCTACATTTAGAAAGATTCACATGTACCCTTATAAGATGGGCCTATGGTTCATCTTAGAAGGGCTTGCTGGTGTGGGACTGATCCTGTTCAGTGAATGCAGGAGGAAGTGCCATCTCCTGGCTTGGGGGTGGGAGTCATCTGCCCCAGCCCTCAGCTGGAGCTTTGCACCTGCCTCCTGTTAGGTCTGGATGTCCCAGTTTGGTAACTGGGAAAGTTCAATGGCTCTTGCATTCTTCCTTCCCTGCTGCTCAGAACCCCTTCTGACAAAGACCGTTTAGGGTCAACGACAAGGCACAGTGAGCTCTGCAGGGAGAGGCGCTGTCTGTTGGGGTCGCTGCTATGTCCCAACCCCCAGAAGAGTCAGTGGGCAATAAATGTGGCGATGATTCTAATTCTTTGCAGGGAAGATTCTAATTCTTTGTTTTTCCAGAGTGACAGATTATAAACCATTCACTCATCTGCACTTGGGTGCGCTTGTCAAACCCTGAACATGGCAAGTAGGTGGTAGTGGTGGTGTGTGTATGTCTTTTAGGTTGAGAAGGAAGCGGGAGGGAGACTACCTTGGGAGTTGCTGGTTGAGCTTAGGAGAGCTCTCTGCCTTTCTGCTCCTGGTCAGGCTGATTGGGTGAATTCCCTCAACCCTCTGTACCTTCTAAGTCTCATCCTTGGTACTTCTGAGGGCTGTTTCACCTGAAGACGTGAGAAATCCTTAAGAGGACTTCATGAGGTCCACAGCAGGAAGAGTAGGCTGGGGATGGGAGGAGGGCCAGGCTCGTCTCCATCTCAGTTCCAATCCCTCCCATAGCAGAGGGGTCCCTTCCTGTAATGTCCCTCAACCGGCACCTCTGCTTATCCTGGCCCCACCTCTCTGTAGCAGTTTGGATGCTTTTGGTTAGAAATGAAAATAAACACCCAACTAAATGTGGTTTATACAAAAAAAGATATTTAATGATCTCACTTAACATGAAATTACAAGTAGATATTTTAGCCTTGGTTCTGCTGTTAAAGTGATTTTTGGGGCTCAGGTATTCTTTTTTTTAATTGAGGTAACAAAATCTATGTAACAAACTTTATCAACAGTCATTTTTAAGTGTAAATTATACTGAAACTACTTTCACAATGTTGTATAACTATTACAACTGTCTATCTTCAGAACTTTTTGTATCTTTTAAGCCAGTGTTAGCTTTTTCTTATCTCATGGCACACTTGAACCTACAGTTAAACTTCCATGGCACATTTAAATTATGTTCATCAAAAAAAGCATTAAAAAATATATATATATATACTTACTGTGCTTTGGATTTCTTTTGAAAATAATTTAATTAATGATCCTTAATTTTTTTTGTGGCACACCTAAGATCCTCTTATGGTACACCAGTGGTGCCATGGCACCCAGTTGAAAATCTCTGTTTTAAATGATAATTCTCCACCCTGCCTTGACCCCAGCTTTTAGGAACCACTATTCCACTTTCAGTCTCTGTGAATTTGGCTATTCTAAGCCCTTGATATGAGCAGAATTATGCAGTATTTGTTCATCACGTCTGGTTTATTTCATTTAGCATGATGTTTTCAAGGACTATAACATGTATCAGTACTTCTTTCCTTTTGAGAGAGAGAGAAGAGTGATTGAAAGAGCCAGGGATAAGGATAACAGAGTTCTTTTTTTTTTTTTTTT